TTCTTAGATGTATCTAGTTTAGCTATCAACAAGTAAACAACACCGGATTTGGTAATGATGACCATGTCGATCTTTTGAAGGGGGTAAACCATCTGTCCTTTTTCTGTGAGGCCATGAAAGAGAGAAAAATTCTGAAGCCCACATCTTAAGAGAAATTACCACTTCTGCATATAGTCTTGAGAAAAGGGAGCCGACTGGCCAGGGAGTTGATGTTATGGAGAGCGAGTTTATAAAAGAAAGAGAGGCCTAGAAAGAAAACCTTCAGGAAGAAGGAAAAAACCTAACTTCAGCAGGGAAGGGGAAAAGGAAAGGGGAGGGGGTAATTTTTTATAAGAGAGTTTGAAGAAAAGAGGGGTAAAAAATAAGGAAGAGGAAATAAAAAGACATGGGAGAGGGGAAAGGAGAAAGCAAAGAGAAAAGGAGTAAACACTTAAAAATTTCCTAAAAAGGAAATTTCCAAGCGCAGAAGGGGGAGTGGGAAAGAGTTTTTTATTTATATTTATTTATATATTTTCTAATGTAATAAATATACTATAAGATTTTGATTAATCTTATTAAATAGATTTTTTAAAAAAAATTTTTTTTCAAGTGTCTACAATATTTTGTCCACCTTCTGTATAAAAATAAATTAAAATTAAAATTAAAATAAAATTTTTAATTATCAAACGTAATTAATTATTTAATTATAATATAAATAATTAACAAGTCTTCTAAAAGCAAATATAATAAACATTTATTTATACTGTAATTCTGGCTTTATTTTATATAATACTATTTATGTTATTACAGTATTATTATTTATTTATTTATATTTATATTTAAGTTATAATAGATAGTTATTAATTTCTAGCATTTGGTTTTATTATTGATGAATTCATGGAGTAATTTTTTATTTAATCATCCACTTTAGTCTTCTTTCTGTATATATTTTCTTTCACCGTGAATCCATAAAATTTTTATTTCAAAAAAATGGCAAATTTCCTTGTCTTTTATAATGTTTTTGTTCAATAATTAGTATTAGATGCTGTTATTATTTTATGATCTTTTTTATTTTGCGATAGGCCTGAGGAAGACAATGTAACTATTAGATGCTTATTGTGGGAATCTTTTTAAATTATTTTGTATTCTATTAATTTAATCTTTCCATTTTTATTATAAAGTTCTTTACAAAAAAAAGAGTATATAAATTAAGAAGTGGATTGAGAGTAAAACCGGGTGTAAAATAAATAAATAAATATCTTAATAAATAAAATCAAAAAAATATAAATATAATTGTTTCACTATCGTGGGCAACAAACAATGCTAGCAGTAGAATTAAAAACCCAGCTAATTTTTCACAATATCATTGTAATTAACTTCGACAAACAATCATCGTGTTAATATGAAAGTATGCATGCAGTTTCGAAAATCTAAATTTTAGATTTTTCAAGCGTATATTTTGCTTTCTTCTTATCTTTTATGGTCCCAATTCCATCACAATAACGAATTCAAAAAATTGGTTTGTCCGGTAGTATTTCCACATTCAGCAGATTTAAGAATACATTGAAATGATTTTTCTTCGTCTTTAGTGGTTCCAATTCCATTCGCATAACAATTTCCAAGTTTAATTAGTCCAATGAAATTTCCACTTTCAGCAGATTTCAGATACCATTGAAATGCTTTTTTTTTGTCTTGAGTGGTTCCAATTCCATCGCAATAACAATCTCCAAGTTTATATTGTCCAACGATATTTCCACCTTCGGCAGATTTCAGATACCATTGAAATGCTTTTTCTATGTCTTGAGCGGTTCCGGATCCGATTTCATAACAAGCTCCAAGTTTATATTGTCCAACGATATTTCCACCTTCGGCAGATTTCAGATACCATTGAAATGCTTTTTCTTTGTCTTGAGTGGTTCCGGATCCGATTTCATAACAAGCTCCAAGAAAAATTTGTCCAACGTCATTTCCACTTTCAGCAGATTTCCGATACAATTGAAATGCTTTTTCTTTGTCTTGAGTGGTTCCAATTCCTTCCCCATAGCAAATTCCAAGATTATTTTGTCCAAAGATATTTCCACTTTCAGCAGATTTCAGATACCATTGGAATGATTTTTCTTGGTCTTGAGTGGTTCCAAATCCATAGCGATAACAATCTCCAAGACAAGCTTGTCCAAAGGCATTTCCACTTTCAGCAGATTTCCGGTACCATTGAAATGCTTTTTCTTTGTCTTGAGTGGTTCCAATTCCATTCGCATAACATTTCCAAGAAAATTTTCTATACTACCGATTTCGCCTTTTTTGTCTTGAGTGATTCCAATTCCATTACGATAAAAATCTATAAGACCACTTTGCCCAATAGTGTTTCCACCTTTGTCTTGAGTGATTCCAATTCCATTCGCATAACAATATTCAAGACTACTTTGTCCAGCTGCATTTCCACCTTCAGCAGATTTCAAATACCATTGAAATGCTTTTTCTTTGTCTTGAGTGGTTCCAATTCCATCGCGATAACAATCTCCAAGATTATTTTGTCCGGCGGCACTTCCACCTTCAGCAGATTTCAGATACCATTGAAATGCTTTTTCATTGTCTTGTGTGGTTCCAATTTCATCGCGATAACAATTTCCAAGATAAAATTGTCCAATGGCATCTCCACCTTCAGCAGATTTTAGATACCATTGAAATGCTTTTTCTTTGTCTTGAGTGGTTCCGATTCCTAATTTATAAAGAAGACCGAGAGTCATGGCATTCTGAGGGGTTTTCTGGCAATTAATTAATAAATTAAAAATTTGTTCCGAAGTCGTTTTATTACTCTCAACGAACGTGTTAACACATATCATTAACATAGAATCAGAAGGCTCCTTATTTAGCTGATCGACAATAAATTGATATAATTCGTTCAACGTGTTGAGTTCAAAATCCCTAACAAAATTACTCCCCATCACGAGATTCCCAGTACCATCAATAGGATTTTCTCTTTCGTCAAGTTCAAGTTCTTCAAGTGTTTTTGATATACCTGACGTGATAATATCCAACGAGTCAAGCAGTTCTTTAACTTGAATTATTTCAGGTCTCTTATCTGGATTTTTGTCCCAACAGGCTAATAAAGTTAAAAAATATTAACCGTCTAAATACGATTACACATAAACATACAGTAAATAACGAAACATATTGCATATTCCTTATAAGCTAACCTTCATAAATATCTATATACCCTTGAGGCGTTCCGTCTATTCTCTTCTCTCTGAGGTCATCAAAAATTCGGAACATTAACGCTAGGTCATATTCATACGAATTAAAAGGAGGATTTCCGCTTGTGAGCTCCCAGAGCAAAATTCCTAAACTATAAATATCAGATTTCTTATTTTTTTTAGGATAACCCTTATTTGCCATTCCAAAACATTGTGGATCAACATATGGCAAAACTCCAAGTGGAGCATTAGCGGTTTTGGTTTTCGAAGCATCCATTAGTTTCTTAGACAGCCCAAAATCGGCAAGCTTCACGTTTCCATGACGGGTGAGAATATTCCCTGGATGCTAAAATAAGGCAATAAATAAATAAATATAACAAAATATACCAAATAATGGAAATATAATAGTAAATAGAAATACAATAATAAAATAAAAGCTAATAATATAATAGAAATTTAAACATATAGCTTAATTACCAAATCCCTATGGATAATGTCTTTTTCGTGTAAATACATAATTGCGTTTGTGATTTGTTTAGCCATGCGCAATTTATCACTCCACTTTAACAATTTAAAATTTTCATTAAGGTACTGCCGCAAAGTTCCATCAGCATATTCAATGACCATAAGATATTCAGTTTTTTTCGGATCTTTATAATTGATTAAATTAATTATCGTTCAGTTTTTATAATATATACGTGCTTAGAATAATTACCTTCCTTAGAAATTCCGTAAAGCCTTAAAATGTTTTCATCAAAGTCCACATCTTGATGTAACTTAAGCTGTGCGGAATATTTATTATGTTAGTCATTATTTTAGATAATTACTATATAAATAATAAAATGAAAAACCTCGTTAAGAAATATATTTGCCGAAGTTTCATCAAAAATAATAACTTCTTTAATCGCTACTGTTTTTTTAATAGCCTTTGAATAAGCTTTATATACTTTTCCAAAGCTACCTCTTCCTATAACTTCAATACCCTCGAAGTCGCTGTATTCGAGTTTCCTTAATGGCAGTTCGTTTATAGAACTTTCGAGGTCTACGACCCATCCATTTTTCGATTGTGAATTTTCTGAAAGAGACATTTGAATTGCAATGTGTAACTTGTACGGTATAGCCTAAATATTTATACTGTAGTCTGCATTTGTTATACAAAAGGTTCACAAATTATATTACTGCAATCCGTTATACAGAATTCATAAAGTTACAATATTTATCTTGTGATATAATTAATGCTGATCGCAACATTATGTCGCTTCGAAATACTTATCACATGCTCATTGAATTCGTTTTTGGACATAGACTGAAGTTGAATATAGTGTACCGTTATGGGTAGATCCCCATACGATAAATTTACCAATATTGAATTTGTAGTATGAGGATGATGTGGTTCGGTTTCTAAGGTAATATGGAAAAAAGGACCCAGAAATTGAGACTACTCAATGGTTCAATCCAAATATTTAGTCGCTCTTAAAAGATTTACTTGTTTAGAAAATTATTTGAAAGGATTCCTTCGTGAGGTACGTCAGTAAAAAAATCTATTTATTGTATTGGATCACTAAATAACATAGCTTCATACGAATTTAGACTACGTAACCAATTTAATTCTATGTTCATTCATCACAAAATCCAGAAACAAAGGAATACCTGATGGTGTTACCTTAAACGAAATTGTGAATAATTTACTTGGCAGAGCAAAGCAAAAGCTGCTTACATACTCGCCTGTTCATTGGAAGCGATGCATAGTGTAGGTGTTATTCACTGTGATCTTCATACTGGAAATGTCCTCGTTTTTGAATACATCTGCTATTTTACATCGAATGATGATGGTTCGAAATGGATCGAATATCCAATTATTTCCGATTTTGGTCTGGTGCGTCCTTTAAATTGTAATAAAGATGGAATGACCTTGTGGGAATTGAAGCATGATTTTATTTTTGCAACTTGCCGTCTATTAAAAACAATGCCACTAGCACATTTGGATCAAGATATAAAGATCTAAACATCGATATGATTGATTTGAGCATAGCATGATTTGTCATTTGAAAATTTACATATTTTATTTATGCATCAAATCTATAGTTCTTACAATGTATCTTTTATCACGTTTTATTTTAATCCAAAAGTTTTTACCCTTTAAGTATAAATAACTTGCTTTCTTTTTCTTCTTTTTAAATTGCATATTGTAAATGTACATATTTAAATAAAAGTTAGTGTTGGTCTGAAAGATTTAGTTTTGAATTCGTTATACGGTATACAATGTACTGAACCGGATTTCTATTTCGGTAATTCGGGTCAAAATGTAGAACTATGGCCGTATAAAAGAAAGTTAACGACCAACTCTTAAGTAGCATATTTTTTTCCAAATACTGTAAAAGACATAGGTGTTCTCCTACCTTACTCGTGCGACACCCCTACGGCACCCGTGCAGATTATACGTATTCAAGTGAAATTTCCGAACCATAAGAACTGGAAAATCGTAAAAATTGTTGCGGAAATTTCACTACAAATTCATCCGCACAAGTGCTGCACGAGTGACGTCCATTTAAAGTACAGTAGTAGGAAAAAAGAGATCAAATATGTCTTGTCCCGAATGCAATAAAAAATTTTCAGGATACAAATGGTGCATGTCATTTAATAGTATTCATTTTCAACAAGATTTTGACAAATGGACTAGTGGAGACAAAAAAATTGACAAAAGTCTCAGCTTCAAGCTAATTATAGTAGTAATATATTAGAATGGATACGGTATACAATTTTAAGATGTCAAATATATCGCTAAAGGAGGATATGGCACTGTGTATTCTGCGACATGGAAAGATGGTGAAATTGACAAATGGGATGTTCCCAATAAGAAATGGGTTAGACGTCCCATTGAGAAAGTGGCATTAAAAAGCTTAGATATGCTTGACTCAGTTGACGATCTCATAAATGATGTAAAGGATATTAAACCTCGTTTAACCATACTACTGTATAGTTTTATTATTAATATAATTTTATTTTAAATTTTAGATTGAGAAACACTCTATTCTGTGGAGGACCCGGTGTGTTATTTGTTACGGAATCACGCAACAACCAGTGTCATTATGCTATATGATGGTTTTTGAATTTCATGAAAATGGCAGTCTCAGGAATTACTTGGACGAAAATTTTTACAAGATGGATTTGAAATTAAAGTTAGCGTCGTTACGAAATATTTCTGAAGGTTTACTTGCAATGCACTCGAAGAAATTAGTTCATAGAGACTTTCATCCTGGAAATCTTTTATATGATGAAGTATTATACCTGAATATCTCAGATTTAGGTCTTTGTAAAATATTTTTAGAAAAAGAAGCCTCGACTCGTCAAGAAATTTATGGAGTTCTTCCATACATTGTGCCCGAAGTCTTGTGTGGTCATGCTTACACACCGGAAGCAGATATTTATTCATTTGGAATCGTAGCATATGAAATGATCACAGGATTTCCTCCATACTATAATATTCCTCATGATCAAGATCTTGCTGTACAAATCTGTCAAGGTTTACGTCCAAAAATTCCACATAAGACTCCAAAGTATTTAGTTAGATTAATAATGCAATGTTGGGATGCAAGGCCATCGAAGCGACAAGGTGCTGGAAAAATAAACAATAATTTATTCGATCGGTTTGAATCGATCATAAGAGATGAACCTTCTGATTTTAAGGAACAAATTAAATACCACGAAAGTGAAGTTTCGAAAGAATCACTAACTAGTAAATCCTCAGGACTTAATTATAAAACGCACTCAAATACTTTTTACACTAGCAGACTTTTGAATTTTTCAAACTTATTACAATCAACTAATGCCCCTAATTATGATAAAGTACTCGAAATGTTGTCAGATGACTATACAGGTGAATGTACTGTAAATAGCATAACGTTCATTATTTTCTAAACTTTTATTAAACGAAATCATGCTTTTAAAACTTTTATAGACTCCAATTTAATTGGCCTGAAAGTTCGGAATTTTTAGGTATTTACGAAATTAATTTTTTATTCATAATTATGGTCTTAATCCATCCAATATTGCAAACCTTTTATTAAATATCTTCGTTTACCTATTTACAGTACATATACATGTAATTTAACAGACATATTCAGTAAATTATTCCTAAGACTATTTATTTCGTTATCATTAAATAAAGAATAAATTTTATTAAATAAATTTTTAATAACACATAATATAATGGTCAGGAATCATTTGCATAGCCCGAGTAATGTCGACATTATGGTTCTACTCACAATGTTATACTGGAATTTATTACTGTCACATGCTTTCTCCATTTAATAAATTTGACCCTAAGTTTTGCAGCATATTAAAGAGATGTTGTTATAGGGAAATAAGGGGTGATTCATCACGCGATGCTATACTGGGTATCGCGATAAAAATAGGAGGGATAAAGAAGATAAAGAAGATAATTAGAACAAAAAGGATAATTGGAATAATGAAAAACATATATAAATATACTTAGCTTTCATCAAATAAAGACAGCAAAGTATGCTTATCGTTGTGAGCAAGTGTGCTCATTTACAAATAAACTTTATCTGTGTGATAAATCTCTGTGTTTCATTTTTCAGTGGTACATTTTTGGTCGACCAAATCCAATCGCCTCTTGAGCCTACAAAATAAGAAGAAGATAGTGTTAGTGCTGACACAAACCATATAGCTAAATAGTGCAAAGTGAGCCTACTTAGCTGCTGTGTGTGACGTGATGCAACCAGACCTGTGTGCAAGCGAAAGACTTGCCATTTCCCACCGTTACAATGTGAACTAAATGAATAATAAAGTTAGTCTTAGTTAACACCAATATTATATGCTTTATAAAATTAAACAATTTTGTTTTTGGTTTCAATTATTCTCTGTTAACAAAATCCTCATTTGTCACTATATTATTTACAACTTTGTTGATTTCAATAAAACATACAATAAGTTAGTAATTTTATTATAATGGGTTGACAAATTTTTAAATAAGTATAAGACAAACAAATGATATGTTTAAAAATAAAATTTTCTGATAATGAAATATTGTTGCATATATAAATAACTGTAATATACAATATAATTATTAAAAAATATAACTAACAATTGATTTAAAACTAATAAGTTATTTTTCTTTAATACACCATACGTTTGTGTCACATTATATTTTATAATTGACAATAAACTTGAAAATTTAATAGCATATAGTGAATATAAAAATAGTAGAATGTAAATTTAAAAATTTAAAAAAACATAAACGTCATTGTAAATATACTTGTTTCAGTCAATAAAGTCACAATTTGATAATTAATTGGATTTTCTCGTGTTCTTTTAAACATATAATATTTAAACAAATATGACAATGATTTTTTTTTTTTTACAATAAAACAAGTATTTATTGTATTTATTTAATCTTAAAATAGAAAATATAGTTGTTCAAAAACATTATGTATAAATTATTTTTTATACTTAAATATTTAGTCTCTAAATATGATTTTGAAAATAAATAAAGTTACTTTCTTTTATCTTCCATTTTATAAACATTAAAATATATAGATCATGGGTCAAATTTTTTTCTATAAATTTTTAAGAATAAACATTTATAAGATAACCGTTTTTTATAAAAAATTGCAATGATAGCTTATTTTTGATCATTGATTTCAAATGTTTCCTAGAAAAAACTTTATTTACAAGATATGGGTAATTATTTTCGAAGGCGGACCAGAAATTTTCTGGCGTGATCCTAAAATTTATATTATATATGTATTGTTTAAAAGTTGGGTCTGAAAAAATCATATCTAGCATTTTTGTTGCCTTCAAAAATAATTACCCATATAGTATAACGGTTCAAAAACCAAATGCCTTACTATGTGTAGACTTAAACTGGAATAAAAATTATTTGAGAATAATCTTATTCATAAAGATTACTTGTTATTCTATATGCGGCACTGGTAAATATAACATTTTATTTTGCCAACTTACAAAGATATTTCTAAATAGTATACAGTCAATATAAATTAAAAATTTTTTTGTCATAAACAAGTCTTTTGTCCTAATCCAACCAGACCAATTGATTTATCACCTATTAATTTCTTAAAACCTGTATAACTTTATACTATCACCATATCCAACAGCAAGAATTATGCAATTTTTATCTTACGAAATACAAAATTACAGTTATTATTACACTAGTATTGTTACGGGGAAACGACGATCGACAATATGGCTTAGAAATTGAGAATGACGATCGCGCATTATAGAGGTTGCCAAAACGGGTAATCGACCCTCAACCTCGTT